CTTGGTTCTCATCAACATCCAGTGCATTGTATGCCTCATGGAGGACAAGGAACACAGCACATTTTTGAGTTTCTTCCTGACACACAGGAGAACTAGATGCCCACAGGTGCTGCAATTGCTCATCAGAAAAGAGCTTGGGCATTTTCTGCTTTGTTGGCTTGATATTGCATGCAATTTCTGTAGCCTCAAACTTCATAGTGCAGATCTTGGTTGGTTCAAGCAAAGGGTAATGCTTCAACACGATGTGGGTCTCCCCAATCTCTGTCAAAGCCCAAATGCGCCCTGGCTGATCCTTCACAGTGTAGTTCTTGCCTACAGCAAGGTCCAAAAGCTGCTTGGCCAAAAACATGGGGTTGTTGGCCTGGTCCAAGTCATAAGGCACTTCCTGCTCAGCTGGTGGCTTTGCAGTGGTGGATGAAGCAGCACTGGCAGCACTTGAGCCAACACCAGCTGTGGCCAAATCAGACTCCATGAGAGTCTTCAGCTCTTCCATGCTCCTGGTCTTTCCTTCTGTGCCCATTTTCTCTTTGGATGTGAGATGCAAGGCAAATCGAATACAGGCTTTGCCAAACATCTTGAACTGCATGGGCTGCTCCAACTTTGATGCCTTGAGTTGTTCCCAAAAGGTTGCAAGCAAAGACTCCACCTCATTGACCTTGGGATGCATCTTCTTGGCCTTCAAACCAGCCACATCAGTCTTTGTGATGAGCTTGGCCACTGAATCAACAATCTTCTCTGTGGTACAGTTTGTCACCACCAAAGCAATCTTGACCATTGGATGCAAAGTAGTCTTTGCAAACTGGGTCTCAACAATGCTGGACATGAACTCTTCTCCAAGGGTGGGGTTGGTGCCAAACTGCTTTGACATGAATGCCACAAAGTCAATCATGCAACCATCAGGTCCACCTGCAACATATTTATTGCAACATATATCTGTCACATGTGTAAACCAAAACAAACATTTCAACCCTTACAAACACAAATGAAGTGAGTTCATAACAAGCATGACCTTGCCTCCATACAGCTGAACAAATTTGCCAACATGTCGAGCATAGTGCTGCACAGGCCCTCCATGACAAAGGTCCATAGCCATCTTGGTGTAGTTGAAGTCCTTGGAGCTCTTGTTCTTCTGGGCCAAGACAATGCTGCTCATCAACTGCACTTCATTCTGCACTTCATATGTTGAATTGCTGGAGTTGCCAGCAGACTCAATCAAAGAAGGCATGGTAGGCCACTGCTGGGCAACAACATCTTTGACAATAGTCCATTGCCATCCCTGCTCCAGCATACAGGCCAGCTGCTTGTCCTTCAGGAGGTGGTTTCCCAAGCACCCACTAGGGCCAGCTATGGATGCCTGACTGGTCTGGCAACACTGTAGGATCGCTTTGCAGAATTGCACAGTGTGCCCCTTGGAGCATGTTAAATATCTTTCCTTTCCAGTGGGCTGGGGAAGCAGGTTGCTGGCCTCACTGGCCATGCTCTCATTGAACAAGATCTGTTTGTTCCTTGAAACCTCATCAACAGACAGCTCAAAGGCCACGCTCCCCCCCAACTGGGACATATCAGCACCTGCTGCAATGATTGTGGCCCCCTTTTTATGCATCGAGTAGGGGTTGATGCCTGTCCCTCCCTCCCCTGTTCAAGGGGTGCACCAAGAACAAGTCTGGGGTGGCCTGCAAGGTGTATGCCAGACCACAGTTCAACAGAATCTTCTCCACCTCCTGCCACTGACCCATTGGTCCCATGCAGGATCCCAAAATGGAATTCACCTGCTGAGCAATCTCAGGCGCGATGGCTGCCATGTCAAAGAATGCAAAGTAGATGGAAGCTTTCTAACACAAAGAACTTTGAGCAGTTTCAAGCTTGCAGTATATAAGTCTATTGACTTGCAAATATCCAAATCAAGTAACAGCCAAACTGCATACATTCAGCCAATGTGGCTTGACATGGTAGCATGGCATGAGATGAATGCACATGTTCTTCACAAGACTTAAAAAAAGTGGTTACAAGAATTGCTACAGCCTATGCAAGACAGCATGGCTCTAGCAAATGCATGCAGCTTAAACATGGACTTTTTCACATGCCAACAAAATGATTGTTGCATTTCATGTAGCCAATGTGGCTTGACAGTGGGACATGGCATGGAATGCATGCATTTCATGTAGCCAATGTGGCTTGACAGTAGGACATGGCATGGGGTGCATGCACATGGTTCTCATGAAGTCAAAAATCGCTTTATGTATGTGTTGTGGTGCATGCATGGCAAGACAACATGCTGGCCTGTAAGCGCGCCAAAGTTCTAGATTGGTATAACTACATGAAAAATAATATGTATGCACTCATGACAGCCAATCAGCTTGAACATGACACACAAAGTTCAACACCACACCATCATGGACCTGCAGCCCACTATAACAAAGCCCATCCTTGTTAATCAAAAGAAACATAAACCCTCACAAAAACAAAAAACATTATGAAATAAAAAACATCCACATCATCAATCCCTGTCATCACTTGTTGCATACAAATATTTGTGTTTTTTATTTCTATGTTGGTTGCATTAGCACTCATTTATGTTTGTAAAACACATAAAAATATGTGCACATATGTATTTAGATAACTACTCATAACCAGTTATAACCAAATCAGACTAACTGCTTATAACTATGCTAAATGTTTATAAAACTATACATAAATGATGTTAAGTTGTTGTAAAGTTTCTAGGACTTATGATTTTAAGTTGCTAAGTGTTATGGAAGTTATACTATAGTATACAATGTTATACCATACTTATACCATATATATAAGTATGTTATAAATGCACTTATACAGCCTACTAACCTTTATAAGCCCACGGTTCATCCCAGTGCTACCGCTCTCGCGAGCGTGTGATGATTTTTTCCACCTGAAGCAAAAATCTTTGACTACTATGCAAGCCAAATGCAAGCAAGTGATTCATCGCAAAGGAAAATACATCAAAAAGAACCTCGGGTTTGCTTTGGATACACTTGAGATTCTGCGGCTGGTGCCTACCTTGCCTCTCTTTAGCTGGCTGTGGAAAGCTTTCCTAGCCACGCTCGCTAGCCTTGGCGAGCCAGAGTTAGCCAACTACCTCAAGAGTTACGAACGTGTTCTTCCGGCACAATTTGCTTGCCAAATGTTGCCAGATGACATTGTCTACGTCAGCTTCTGGATTGGCTTTGACGGCATCATCTCCGGTTCTGGTAGCGGCAGCGAGCCCGCAGAAGCTTTGCATTCATCTTGGCAACGCGAGCTCAGTCAGCTCGGCGGGCGTGGCAACATCAACCATGGCTTGCAAGTCTTGCAGCAGCTCTACACGCAACATTGGAAAGATTGGTACAAACGGGGTGACTCTTCATCTTTGTCTTTTGCGCCAGTAAGTCACGATCCGCAGCTCATCAATGGCACAGCTTTGGTTCGTGCTGGACGTACACCCGCTGCCCATTTGAACAAGTTGCCTCGTGATACCTTGTACATCCTGCACCCATGCGCCAATCTTTCTTGGGTCGCATTTGCAAGCGCTGCCAGAACATCCCCGCTGAACTGCAGCGTTGCGCGCAAAGTTCTCCATGTCCTTCTACACCCTGAAACCTTGACTGCGCACAGTTTGCCAGACCTCTTCGCTGCTGATGGAACCCTTTCCCTGGAGTCTTTGCGGTTCCATTTTGAAAGCATCGTGTATCTCAAAATCAAATCAACTTCGATACTATGTTCTTGCCTGGCAGCCGCCATGCATGCACAATGCGAACATTCAACATTTCTTCGTAGTTGCAGCCTTCCCAACTTTTCGTCTCCGGCTTTGAATCTTTCGACAGTGCCAGCCAACAAGAAAGGTGGGCGAAAGAAAGCTTCCAACCTTCCCCCGCGCAAACGCCGCCGCGTTTCTTCCTGATGCCACAAACAAAACTTTCTTGCTGCCATGGAAAAAGGTGAGACATCAAACATTATCTAACGCAGCTCTTTCGTTTCTTTGGTCATTAAACGTTAAACTTTGCATTTTTCATACTGGCTGTGCTTTACCGATTCTGCTCGTCGATTCGACACTTCTTCGCAGTGCGTAGCCATACTGTACGATCTGTCACCGCTGCCAGGTCTTTCTCGCCTACCGCGTCGGGGCGGGGTGCGGCGCCCAACTAACTATACGCACGGTTTTTCTTCTCCCGTTAGCGCCCGCCTTGCCGTGGCGGAGAAGCTCAGTACCGCGCAACTGCGCGGGAAGCTAAGCGGCGCTTGTCGGCCTGCAGCTGCATCTGCTATTGCTTGGTCTCTTGTATAGCTGTATGTCGCGATTGCCGGTTGCCATTGCCGGTTGTTGCAGCGGCTAGATGCCTCGGTGCTGCTGCTGCTGCTGGTGCCTGCTGCTGCTGCTGCGGCTGCTGCTGCTGCTGTGCTCTGTTGCTGCTACCGCTGCGGCTGATGCCGGTGCTGCCGCCGCTGCTGCTGCATTACTGCTACCGCTGCCGCTGATGCCGCTCCTGCCGCTGCTGCTGCTGGTGCTGCTGCTGCTGCTGCTGTGACCGGTCCGCGTGCTGCCTTTGCTGCTGCGTTGCTGCTTGCAAGGCAACAACAGCTGTCGCAAAAAACACCCCTCACGGCTGCAAAAAACACCGCCGTCGCAAAAAACACCTCGAGACGTACGCTCCGACGAGTTGTGGGCTGACCACTGTTGCAAAAAACACCGCTCACTGATGCAAAAAACACCGCCGTCGCAAAAAACACCTCGCGTACGCTCCGACGATTTGTGGGCTGCCCACTGTCGCAAAAAACACCGCTCACTGACGCAAAAAACACCACCGTAGCAAACAACACCGTGCAGACGTCCACAAAAACACCGGTTCCGGGCTCACCGTGTGAAAAAACACCCGTGGAACTGTTGCAATAAACACCTTCCCCAGAGCTGTCGCAAAAAACCCTGAAACGAAGTACTGTCGCAGAAAACCCTGATTACTGACGCAATTTACCCGAAGCCCTGTACCGAGGCAGGAAGAGATTGATCCCTATCCCTGGCGAGTTAGCCGCTTTGTCCACGGCTACCTCGCAGGGCAGACAGCAGCTTGTCGGTCCGGCCATATTCGACGGTCGGTGTGGGTGAAAATGGTGGAGGTGAAAGAGCTCGCCGCAGCGGATTTGACACCGATCCGAGGTGCCGCTGAGCATCTTTCGACCCCTGCAGCAGCTGCGCCCCAGCGAGCGAGCCAACGACCTCCGCAGCATCTCCAGCTGGAGGACCGGGGCCTCTTTGCGCGACTGTGCGCGACTCCGCGGAGGTCAAGAGGTCAGGAGGTTTGGGTACTAGGTACCTTTTTCTCTTGTCTCTGTCTTCTTTAGAACTTTAAACTTTCGATATCATCCTACACCTTTTCTGTCCTTTTCCCTTTGTGTTTTTGTTCTGAGCTCGCCCTGGAAATGATCCCAGTACATCGAAGTGTCGGTTCAGGACGGCACCACCGGGAGTTCTGGCCCCTCGGCGAAGACTCTCCCGAAGAGGATGAACATGTCACTGACTATGTCACTGGATGAACATGTCTTTTTGAAGCAAAAAAACTTTGGAGGCCATCACTAGGTTGGAGGCCATGAAAAAGATAACGTTTTGTCACTCTGACTCTACGGTAACCCGTATTGCTACACATTGATCGCTCAAGAACTACCTCCTTCAAAGGTCCTGCTGTGTCCTATGAAAAACCCAATTGATGTCAATCATAACTCGTTGTTGTTGCAGACGTGTTTTCAGCGAACTCGCGAACGTCATTCCTGGTGCTTTTACTCTGGCGAGGTGGGGTGGGTGGGTGGGTGGAAAAACGTGGATGTCACGTCCAGATCACGCCGCTCTCTGACTGTTGAATCATTTTTAGATGTAGCACTATGTCTAGTGGAGATACTATAGCATGTCTTTCTATGCCATGGAATCACAGTCCTTTTGTTCGGTGTGTCCTCTGATCAAAGACACCAGTTCAACCCGATCCATGTCCCTCGATGTTTGGAAGCATTGGCATGAATAGAAGTCATGACTCATGACAGAGGAAATGAAGGTCAAAAAGCAGGATTTGCGAATACGAAGAACAGTGATGGAGAATATGTCCTCACCTGATACTGGAAGAGATCAGGACACAGGCTGACCTTCTGCTAGCTCAGCCTTTGGTGGCCCTTGAAGGGCAAATGCTGAACTCTATAGGTCCGATGAGACAAAAAAAAGCTCCAGCTCCAGCTGGTTCCTTGGGAATGTTCGGACTCGGGACGTGGAGAACGTCGCATCATATTCCCAGTTCTGCTATAACAAGTTAAGGCCATGGTTTAGACACGGGTCACCGAGAAGATCAATTAACAGCGATCTAAAGAGTGGCCAAGCCTGCTATATCATGATCAGTGTGTGGGGGGTTGCACTCATTGTATCAAATCAGGTCAGGCCCAGACCAGCAAAAAATGGCATGTTTGACATGCAATGCAACTTGCATGCTCACAGCGTGGTATCAGACACTGCTGAGGTTGTGGTCGTTTGCGGCTTGATTTTCCACCGGGGCCAGGGCTACCAGAAGCTCCGGGGTGAGGCGGGGCCAGGGGGCGCGGTGTGAAGGCCGTTGGGCCAGCTGGCCATGGAACAACGCGTTCCTTTTGGAACTATGCATTTGTTTGTAGCATGACAAGTGTGAATGAAAGGAGTATAAAGGAGTGAAAAAGGTCCAAACCAGTTTTTTGCTTTCGCACATCTTGTAAGATCCAAGGAGGGAACTCTGGTAAGTATGGTTTCGGGGCAGGGCCTGACAGATAGAGTTTGAACATCCACACCCCCGACCAGCTGGTGTGATATGACCCAGTTTTGATCCCTTGCCTTGAATAGCGCATGTCCAATAGATTCCCTTTGCCAACCCGAACCAAAACTCGCTTGCTTGCTTGCTTGCTTGTTTGCTTTCTCCACAACTCACCACATGCCACACGTTTGTCCCAATAAAATATCCCATCCAACAGATGCGGAGGGCGGAAGGTCCATGACTGGTGTCCATTTCCCCTCGCAGATCCTAGCGACCAACCCCATCACCTGGCGCCGCGGGGCAGACGATGCGCGTTCCCAGGCGCGGACCTCGGGGGTCGGAAGGACGCGGTGGGTCGGACTGGACTTGCACTCGGTGTGGGTCCTATGAGCGCTTCAGGCTCAAGAGTAGCCAGGCAAGATCTGCGGTCAACTCAGTTGAGTCGGAAGGTCCTGGAGGAGCGTACAACTCGCTACCACGTATAGATGTGCCCGTCGGGGGTCTTCAACACGCCAGCCAGGTCCATTATACCATCAAGGAGCGGTCCTCCTTGAACCTAGGTCTCGCCCAGTTGATAGGTCTCTGTTCAATTTCTATACTATGTGGGACTAAAGACCGCATGGAATCTGACGTAAGCCTTGTTATCCTGTGTGCTGGCCCCGACCTTTTCGTTACTTGTTCCTCATCTTAATCTCTGATTCCGTTCCTTCGGTTCCTTGGGCTCCCCGTAAGCGCACGTGAAGCGCAGCGTGAAGCGCTCGATGCGCTTCTTCCTGTCGGGCAGCGGCAGCACCGCAGCCATGGCCAGCCTGAGCTACTGCGAGCGCGTGGTGCGGTTGACACGGAAGCCGCCACACGAGCTCCACTTGGCCTACTTGGGAACCTCGGACCAGTCACCCGCACTTGCGACGTCAGTATCGAGCAAAAAAGAACGGATGGTATTTAGGGGTCCAAAAAGAAAACGGGAAAGAGAAGAATAACAAAGGTATTTAGCAGAACTTCACACGCCCTGACTACAGCTACGAATGCTTTCCAGGTGGTCTTGGTCCCTGTTCTACTGATTCCTTGTGGTGCTGAGATTGTCGCTAGGGCTAGGATTCTAGTCCAGGACGTTGAAGTCCTTCATGGCTGTCTTGTTCATCAATGCGTCCTACACATGCCCAATCCCTTCACAGCATGGCGTAAAAACATAGAATATCCCGAAGAAAATGGTGTCTTGTTTTCCCACCCACCCCGTGATTGCGAAAAAGATGGAGGTGTTCAATTCTGACATGTTCTACACTTCTGTTCCAAGTCCACCTTTGCGAAAGGACTTGTCAAAAACATCGACTCGATCTCACCGAGATCGTGACTCAACCGTTTTGCTCCCGTTCTGCGGAGAGTGTCCTTTGGGGTTTGGGGGGGGCAAACGTAAAATCACAAAAAGTGAACAAAAAGACAGTTCCTCCCACGTGTGAGGAACTCCCATGTATGACTTGGAGCGCTTCCGCGTGAAGTTGTTGACGCCCTTCCTCCAGCTGGGCGTCACCTGTCATCCCATCGACCTCGTGGAGACGCAACGCCTCTCGGAGGAGCACCGAGCCTGGCCACTCGGACGGAGCACCGGGGGGTCGGTTTTGAGGTCGGTGTTGGACCGGGAAATCCTTCCACCTTCCTAATCTTGTTACTACTATAGCTTCTTGTTACTACTAGTAAGGCACTTGCTCCTAGTAGCGATGCACTTGTTCCTAGTAGCTTCTTGTTACTACGTTCTTTTGGAGTATACATGCAAGATCATCCAAGAAAGACTCGCAGTTGGGTCAAGACTGGGGTTGAGCCAGGAAGTGGTTCAGAATTGTTAGCGGAGGCAGCCGTTGACCTTTCTACCTTTGGGAAGGCTGGCTTCGAAGCATGTTGGTAATGGGACTCTAGGTTTCGGCAAGGGGGTGAATCTAGGATGATATCATTCACAGGGAGATGGAGTTGAGACGCCATCCTGAGTCATCACGTTCGGGGTATTGAGCACATGTGGAACCAAAAACTCCTTTAATCCCTCGAAAGTACAAAGAAACAAGCATCGCAAAGCCCAAAATACAAAGATTCGTCTAACAGAGATTGTACACCTTCACAACTGGTCTGGCAGCTAGTGACTCCAGGGCTCACATGCAGTTTGGCACGTTTTGCCTCCACAGAAACGCTCTTCACCTGGGCCAAAGCGAATTGCGACCTGGCAGACTCACCCGTCTTCGAAGAGTTTGGCCACCCTAGTAGCGATGGCCTCCATCCTTGGACCGATGGCCTCCAACCTAAAAGCAATGGCCAGCAGCATTCAGTTGGCTCGCTGTGAGGTTGCTGAAAAGCGACATCATCTTGGTCAGCGGTGGCAATACGTCGCTTGACCAGAGACGATCCATAGGGCTTTGGCTCAGGCCTCGTCCAGACCTGAATGGCAGTCCCAGTCTGGGCCCGGTCGAAGTTTCAGGATGCCGAGGATGCCACTGGTGAAACGATTCCCAAGAAAGCTTCTAGTCAACCATGCTTATCCCCTCCCTGGCGGAATCAGTAGAAGTGCTACGAAAACGGAGTCGTTACCCTTCACCCCAGACGAGCGGACCACTGGGCGACTGGAGCTCCGGTCTCTCCGTCTTTCAAGGTTGTATGCCATGGATCTTTGGAAGGCTACCGGTGTGGCGGAGCTACTGGCAGAAGTCAAGGACACCGCCGTTTTCTGCGGAGGCCTTTTTGGGATGGCCTCCAACCTAAAGAGCGATGGCCTCCAACCTAAAGAGCGATG